TGATTAGTACTGTTACTTTGCAATGCTTTAGCTTTGATTTTCACACATTCATTATCAGCATGGATTTTGTGTTCTGCCCCATTGTTTCCTCCACATGTTTGCCACATGCTGCACTTTTCTTCCACAACCTAAGAACATGCTAGTAGAATTACTTGCTTCTTCCCAAAATTCTGCTTTCTGTTTCTACATTAGTGCAGAGATTTTTATGAATGGTTTGAAGTAAAGTGTTACTGAAATCCTATTTAAAGGAAAATAATAAAAAAATAAAATCATTAGCACAGCAGTTTTGTATGGAGAGCTGCTTATACTGCAAGTTTATCAGAATCCAGGTGTCTGCAGAAGAACAACATGAGCAAAAGTCTGGTATACTTTAAGGCACAGAAAGCATTGTTAAATTTAACGTACATTGTTGCATAGTAGGATGAATGGTCTATCTTTGATAGATCTTTAATAATACTGGTTCAATAGTCTGCTTTAATCAATAAGAATATTTTTTTCTCTAAACCGAGCATAGTACAGTTTGATTGGTTGCTCTGCTTTACTGCATTCTTGCAATTATCACTGCTCTTTGCACTCTTATTAAATATGTCCTTAAATGTCCCTTTAAATTACTGTTAAATCAGTTTAATTTAATGCCATTTTGGTAAATAGCTGCCATGATTTTCTACTCATTTTGCACTATGGTAAAAGACAAGATTTATGATAATTCCTCCAAATTGCTCTTTTTAGTAAATGTAGTCCACAAAGGCTCATTTTTATGTCCCACGTGTCAAGAGGATCAGTGAAATTGTTTTTCTGTGTCAAAATGGTTCTTCATTTTGTAAAGAAATTGCTGGCATTGTTACATTTGAATCTGTCCAAGCTCCAAATAATTGTGTTTTATCAGCAGAAGCCAGCACTGCTCCACAAGTCTTTGCTGCTTATTACTCCTTACTTTTATTATCCAGTAAAGCTGCTGAGACAATTAGTAAATGCATTTTTTATGGGTTGGTCTTGTGAAAGTAAAATGGATCACAAAGAATGTGTCCTTTCATTGATTTAATTAACATAGATTTTTTATTGTAAATCTAAACCTTAAATTTGCTAAATACCCTTTTTTATATATGAATAGTCTTGTCCACCTTTTTTAATAGACCAGTAACGATAAGGGTCAGTTATTTACAGTCAGTGGCATGGACTAATTAATTCTGCTTTCTCATTCTCTCTTTCCTTTTTAGCAAAATGTGCATTATGTTAAGGGAAGAGCAAGGCCAGATTTTATATCTTTCATTAGTTTAAAAGGACAGTTAAAGTAACTTGTGCTTTGGCCATGCAGTCCCACAAGATGAATATATTTGCCTTCTGTAACTTTAACCCTGTTGAAGCATTGGGTGCCTGAGCAGCCAATCTCCAAGTACAAGCATTGTCACATGAGAGGAGGGAGAGTGAGTCACGCGCTGACTTATACCCAAAAGTACAGGGCATTTTTCCAACAACTATATATATATATATATATATATAAATCCAAGCTAGTCTTGAGATTGAAAAAGATGGACTGAGCTTCATCAAAATGTTGACAATAAAAACACTGCTGTTTTTGATCTTCCTTTGCAAGACCCGTGAGTGCCTCTAAACTAGTTTTGGATTTATATGGATATCTTTGTGGGTGAGCACCTGGGCATTTATCTCAAACATAGAGTGCCGTGGCTACCTTTGGAACTGTTCTATATATATATATATATATATATATATATATATATATATATATATATATTTTTATACACAGTAGATTTTCACAGATCACAAATGTGTCAAGCCAGCAACACTGCGGTAGTGCTGAGTTGGGATTTTCTCATAGAGAAGATCTTTTCCAGACCACCAAATTTTGGAGCTGTTCATACTGATCAAGAAGAAACTAAGCTCTTTGAAGGATTTTCCTTGTGCTCCAATGAATTTATTGGGCACTGAGTATGAGCATAATTTCAGCTGACTGTAGGGTTAATTGAATCTTACCATTTTCACAGGCTATATTGGACTAATCCATTACATGTTTTGATGCTGCAGATATTTGGTGTTAAAAAAATTGAGAGAATTATTAAAACTATAACTGCTGTGCCAAATTGTGTTTTTTAAATTAAGATAGTTGGTACACTGAAGATATTAGATGCTTTTAGTGAAAAGCTGGTCAAATCTCAGGAGTCTAGCATCCAAGATACCTAAAGTGCTTGCTTACTAACTTTTGTAAGCCCATTCTTCTGTTCATAGTGAAAGCATATATAACTTTAATTTAGAAAATAAATAAATAAATGTACCCTAGGAAGATGTGAGATATTTTTTTAAAGAATTAAATTATTACCTGGCATTCCCTGGTACAACCCTGCTGCACTGCCCTAGATAATAATGGCCATCATTCTATTGTGGCTATGAAAAGCACAGTAATTAGTCTTTATTTTGAGAACAGTTGGTCAGATCTGTGCCATCCTGGCTTAAAGAAAATGATGAACAACATGATGAGACAGACCTGCCTATTGTATGCAGCTTTAATATTGGGAGAATAATATGGGGTGCTAAACACAGTGTGTATATCGGGTAGCACATTTGTTTTGGAACATACCAGGCAGCAGTTTAAAGCTGTATTAAACCCAAAATCAAAAATGTAATATACTGCAGCTTACTGATTATTTGATTTGGTGAATGCATTAGTTTTCTTTTTTAGGCTTTTTTTCCCTCAGTTTTTTACCTGGTGATCTGGCCAGTGACACACCTCATGTATTAGGGTGCCAGCACTCTGGATGGCGGAGAAACAGAGATACTTTAAATAGCAGCATTGTCAGACTGGGGAGAGGGGAGTGTTAGATGGAATAACACAATTAGGTACACTAAACACATTTAAGTCATACTCCAGCTCACAGTTTTAAGCAGCTACAGCAATAGTTGTGTTCCTTGTGAGATAAAGGTTTTACTTAAATGAATACAAGCTGATCATTGTAAGCATCCTTGTCAATGGTTTGTCTCATCCCTGCTATCTGCAAGACAACTTGTTCTGTTGAAAAACAACAGACCAATTGGCAGGATTACTAGGTGAAAATAAAAAAAAAGAAAGCTTAAAAACAAAAACAACATAAAATCTAAGAGTTTGTAAGCTGAAATATATTAAATGATTGCTTTTTGTTTTAACACAAATTTGAGGCTTAAAAAGCAGCCCACATTTGTGTGAGGCATATTTGGTGCTTTGCTTTTTAAAAGTGGGTTATCTCATAAAGAAGAATTCCAGCAACCTTACATTCCTAGATCTGGGAAAGGTAAGCATATTGATGTTAAATACAGTTATGGCCCTGTCCCCAGTCCAGAAATGTTGATCCTGGTTCTATAGTGCTGGCTCCCTATGGACCCCTGCTCTCCATTCTGCAGCAGAAGGATTATAAGCAAAGTTCCCACAGAACTAATAATTAATTCTGGTGTGCTGCAAGGCACAAGGAACTGGGGCCCTGGGGCCAGATGTGGCCCTTTACCTGCTTTTATCTGGCCCATGGGGCACTATTTCAATAACTGATACCAACAATGGGCCCTCACGCGACATCAATGATGGGGCACAATTTCTTCCAATGACACAAATGATAGGGCACTGTTCTTTTCACTGACATTGGGACTTTTTTGACTATCAATGACCACAGTCCAGCCCCCCTAAAGTCTGAAGGACAGTAAACTGGCCCTTTGTTTAGAAAGTTTGGAGACCCCTGATTTAGGTAAAAGCAGAAGCACAGGGTATAATTCACTGCATATACTGTTGAATTCAAATATTTCTTCAGCTAAAAGCAGGGCATTTGGTTTTCAGCTAAATGTAAATTATTCAGTTATCTGGGTAATTATATACAGTATAACTCCATAATATGGTTTTCTGCATCTGCTGCTCAGAAAGGAACAAAGTTCTTCACTTCAAGATGCTAAGATCCTGAAAATGTGCTTGAGTAGAACAGTAAACAGAATAAAATAAAGTCATTATTGCAATGGTCCCCACTCCAACGGTGAGAGATTTTTTTGGAACATGCCAATTTACTGAATCAAGTTTGCTCTTGGTCCTCCAGAACACCAGGAGTTAACTTTCCAAGAAAAATGTGACACAGCTACTCCTTGAAAACCTGTGGGCTTCTGAAATGGGAACACCTTCATATTATTAATGATTATAGAGACAACCTTGAGAACAAAATTATACTAGGACTGCTACAAAATTTACACTTTAGAGGTCCTCTTTTTTTCTGAAAATCCACTCAATCCAGTTGTGTGTGAGATATTGGTTAAAAACTAAATAATACTTTACATGGCTAAGTGGTTAGCACTTCCACCTAGCGGCACTAGGGTCATCGGTTCGAAACCCAACCACAACTCTACCTGTATGGTGTTTGCATGTTGTCCGCAAGGGTTTCCTCTGGGTACTCCAATTTCCTCCCACACTGCAAAGACATGCTGGTAGGTAAATTGGCTCCTGTATAAATATGCTCTAGTGTGTGTATGTATGTAGGCACCTTAGATTGTAGGTTTCTTGAGGGCAGAGACTAATATGAATATGTAATATAATAAATGGCAGAAACAAATATGTATTTTAGGCTACCAAATATATATATATATATATATATATATATATATATATATATACTGCTCAAAAATTAAGGTAATCCCCATTGCAAGATTTCCCCTCTATTACTGTTGTAGGGACAACCCAAAATTTGGGATTTTCTTTTACTTCCACTCTTGATGGTAATGGTAAACAGGAGAAATAGAGGGGGTGAATCTCCCTAATGGGGGCACAGACAGTGAAAAAAGAGGTGTTCTAATCCCTCTCTACTCTATCCAAAACATAAATTGCCTTTAGTTATACTTTAAACACAAATAATTATGTTCACAAACCAAGTGTTATCCTCAAATATACTGCTCAAAAAAATTACAGGAACACTTTGAAAACACATCAGATCTCAATGGGGAAAAATATTATGCTGGATATCTATACTGATATGGACTGGGTGTTAGCAGGCCTTGAAATTTCCACTCGCCTGCTCGCCAATGGCGAGTGGAAATTATGGTGGGGGCGAGTGTGTCCCCCAGGGCCATCTTGCTGAGCAGGCTCGGAGCTCAGGCCGGATCTGTCATTGTCACTGGGAGCCGTCAGACTGCTCAATAGCTGAGCTCAGTGAAAGCAAAGGAAGGAGTGTGTGCTGTGCTCTCTGCCTCCCCCTAGAGTGCAGTACCCAGCTCTGTGAGTGAACAACGAAGTACTGCAACTTTTTATAGGGTATGTGTGTATGTGTGTGTGTGTGTGTACATGTGTGTGTGTGTTTGTTTGTGTCTGTGTATGCATGTACATGTGTTTGCGTGTATGTACATGTGTCTGTGCGTGTGTACATGTATCTGTGTGTATGCATGTCTGTACGTGCCTGTGTGTGTGTATACATGTGTCTGTATGTGTGTGTGCATGTGTCGCTGTGTGTGTGTACATGTTTCTGTGTGTGTGTGTGTGTGTGTGTGTATGTACATGTCTGTGTGTGTGTACAGGTGTCTCTGTTTGTGTGTGTTTGTTGGTGGCGAGTAACTCTTAAGGCCTGGCTAGTAGCTCAGGACTTGAAATTTCAAGCCCTGCGGGTAATGTGTTACAAAATGTAAGGATGTCCTATCATTTGCTGGAACTAAACCTACAGAGGACTGAATTCAAAGACACCCCGAAAGTCAAAGTGAAAAGTTATACAGCAGGCTAGTCCATTTTGCTGAAATTTCCTTGCAGCAACTCAAACTGGTACTCAGTAGTTTGTATGGCCCCCATGGGCTTGTATACATGCCTGAAAATGTTGGAGAATGCTCCTAATGAGAAGACAGATGGTGTCCTGGGGTATTTCCTCCCAGATCTGGATCAGGGCATCACTGAGTTCCTGGACAGTCTGAGGTGCAACTGGTGGCGTCGGATGGACTGAAACGTGATTTAGGTCAGGCGAGCATGGGGGCCATTCAATGGTATCAAATCCTTCATCCTCCAGGAACTGCCTGCATACTCTCACCACATGAGGCCAGGCATTGTCATGCACCAAGAGGAACCCAGGACCCACTGCACCAGCTAAGGGTTTGACAATAGGTCCAAGGATTTCATACCAATACCTAATGGCACTCAGGGTGCCATTGTCCAGCCTGTAGAGGGGTCTGTGCTTACCTCCATGGATATGCCTCCTTAGACCATCACTGACCCACCACCAAAACAGTCATGCTGAACGATGTTACAGGCAGCATAACGTTCTCTACGGCTTCTCCAGACCCTTTCACGTCTGTCACATATGCTCAGGGTGAACCTGCTCTCATCTGTGAAAAGTACAGGGCACCAGTGGTGGACCTGCCAATTTTGGTGTTCATGGCAAATGCTAATTGAACTGTATGGTGCCAGGCAGCGAGCATAGGTTCCACTAGAGGACGTTGGGCCCTCAGGCCACCCTCATTCACACCAGTGGCCTGCTGGAGGTCATTTTGTAGGGCTGTGGCAGTGCTCACCCTGTTCCTCCTTGCACAAAGGAGCAGATACTGGTCCTGCTGATGGGTTATGGACCTTCTATGGCCCTGTCCAGCTCTCCTAGAGTAACTGCCTGTCTCCTGCAATCTCCTCCATGCTCTTGGGGCTGTGCTGGGAGACACAGTAAACCTTCTGGCAATGGCATGTATTGATGTTCCATCCAGGAGGAGTTGGATTGCCTGTGCAACCTCTGTAGGGTCCAGGTATCGCCACATGCTACCAGTAGTGATACTGACCCTAGCCAAATGCAAAACTAGTGAAAAATAGAAGAGATGAGTAGGGAAAAGAATGGCAGTGGCCTCCACCAGTAAAAACATTCCTGTTTTGGGGGTCGTCTTATTGTTGCCCATCTAGTGCATCTGTTGCTAATTTAAAACCAAAGCAGCTGACACTGATTAACAACCCATTCTGCTACCTAACTGACCAGATCAATATCCCAGGAGTTCAATTGATTTGATGCTATACTCTGATTACAAAGTGTTCCTTTAATTTTTTTAAGCAGTGAATATATATGAATTAATGGAATATATATATATATATATATATATATATATATATATTCAAAAACTGGCAGCTTTTTAAAAGCTGAGAAAATCCGGTTAACTCTTAGGATAGCTTCATAAAGCAAGTCAGATGTTATCACAAATAGCGTAATATCAAAGATAACCAATATACCATAATTCCTTTATCAGACCATGTGTCACCATCTAATAGTATTGAGTCACTCTTACCGTGTTACTTCAAGTATTTTAATCCTTTTGTTCTGATAATGTTTTTTATCATGAACAGGTTTAGTTTTAAATCTCCTTCAAAAGTGTCTTAATATATTTGTCTTATTATTCTCTGTAACACATTTCTAGTGTGTTTTTTTTGTCCCTTTCTATTTCATTTTTTTTAAATAAAAAAATCCAACAGTGATATGCTATCAGCTCCCAGCATACATCACTTGCCTATATAAAGTATATCAAGGGGTTAGTTAATATATATCAATGGGTTAGTTAAAGTGGTTGAAAACCCTTATACAGTATATACCCAATGAAGCGACAGGTCTCAGGTCATACACAGATATGAAACAAATCCTCCTACATAAGTTGCACCTGTTTATCTATAGCCATCTTTTCTTAACATCCATTTAAAGTCTAGGCTTTTTACAGCTTTTCTGTGTTTTCAGAGGCAGGGGGTGGGGCTCTGATGTCATACACTGCAGATCTCAGAGAGGAAAGGTGAGTGTAATACCAGACCTAAATGGAGGGAAGGGACACACCTTTATCTACACAGTCTTTTAGGGAAACATGCAGAACCACTTTCAGTGTTAACTATTAACTTTGTTTATAGTTTAAATTAGGTTGATGTTAGGGTTAGGAATGAAAGGTTTACCTTAGAATTTATTTGTAAGGTTAGGGTTCATTTTATGGGGAAATTAAATGTTAAGGGCTTACTTTGAGTTGTAGGTTAAGATTAAAAGTTCAGGCAGAGGGAGTATTAACTGTTAGGGTTTAAGGATTGGGTTAAAAAATAGGTTAACTACTTTATATTCAAGAAGGGCTAAAAGGAATGTGGCAAATCTCAAACTTTTTTCTGAATTCAATATGAAAAGTCAGGTGGCATTATTTGGTGCCTGCTATTTAATTTGAAAGACAGCTTATTAAGGTTATAGTTCATACAAATATAGTTTACGTAAATTAAACCCTTAGCTCATATACAGTGGGGATCGAAAGTTTGGGCACCCCAGCTAAAAATTTGTATTAATGTGCATAAAGAAGCCAAGGAAAGATGGAAAGATCTCCAAAAGGCATCAAATTACAGATTAGACATTCTTATAATATGTCAACAAAAGTTACATTTTATTTCCATCATTTACACTTTCAAAATAACAGAAAACAAAAAAATGGCGTCTGCAAAAGTTTGGGCACCCTGCAGAATTTATAGCATGCACTGCCCCCTTTGGCAAGTATCACAGCTTGTAAACGCTTTTTGTAGCCAGCCAAGAGTCTTTCAATTCTTGTTTGAGGTATCTTTGCCCATTCTTCCTTACAAAAGTCTTCCAGTTCTTTGAGATTTCTGGGCTGTCTGTCACGCACTGCTCTTTTAAGGTCTATCCATAGATTTTCAATTATGTTGAGGTCAGGAGATTGTGAAGGCCATGGCAAAACCTTCAGTTTACGCCTCTTGATGTAATCCCCCGTGGATTTCGAGGTGTGTTTAGGATCATTATCCATTTGTAGAAGCCATCCTCTCTTTAACTTCAGCTTTTTCACAGATGGCATCAAGTTACCATTCAAAATTTGCTGAAATTTTATTGAATCCATTTTTCCTTCTACTCGTGAGATGTTCCCTGCGCCACTGGCTGCAACACAACCCCAAAGCATGATTGATCCAACCCCATGCTTAACAGTTGGACAGAGGTTCTTTTCATTAAATTCTGTGCCCCTTCTTCTCCAAACGTACCTTTGCTCATTCCGGCCAAAAAGTTCAATTTTAACCTCATTGGTCCACAGAACTTGTTTCCAAAATGCATCAGGTTTGTCTATATGTTCATTTGCAAAGTTCAAACGATAATTTTTGTGGTGAGGATGTAGAAGAGGTTTTCTTCTGATGACTCTTCCATGAAGACCATATTTGTACAAGTATCTCTTTCTAGTGGAATAGTGTACAACAACTCCAGTGTCTGCCAGATCTTTCTGGAGGGATCGTGCAGTCAAACGTGGGTTTTGAATTGTTTTTCTCACAATCCTGCGAGCTGTTCTGTCTGATATTTTTCTTGGTCTTCCAGATCTTGCTTTAACTTCCACTGTTCCTGATGACTGCCATTTCTTAATTACATTCCGAACAGAGGATATTGACATCTGAAAACGCTTTGCTATCTTCTTATAGCCTTCTCCAGCTTTGTGAGCCTCAACTATTTTCAGTTTCAGTTTTCTAGACAACTGCTTAGAAGAACCCATGGTGCTGATTGTTGGGGCAAGGTCAGATGAGTCTGGGCATTTAAAACCTTTGAGATTGACATAACCTGGTCTTCCCAGACGATGACTGAGAACAATCCATGACACTGGCAGGTCTCAGCTTGGCAAAGGGGGCAGTGCGTGCTATAAATTCTGCAGGGTGCCCAAACTTTTGCAGACGCCATTTTTCTGTTTTCTGTTATTTTGAAAGTGTAAATGATGGAAATAAAATCTAACTTTTGTTGACATATTATAAGAATGTCTAATCTGTAATTTGATGCCTTTTGGAGATTTTTCCATCTTTCCTTGGCTTCTTTATGCACATTAATACAAATTTTTAGCTGGGGTGCCCAAACTTTCGATCCCCACTGTAACTGACATTGCCAAAGTATAACCATAAAAGCGGAAAGGGAAAAAAATCTAAAGATGAAAAGATAGATTGACAATAATGTAGGTAATGCTGCTGTCCAGCAATTATTGTGTATTAATGTGTATTGAAGAACTATCACCGGTATATGGTATGTAGGGGGACTAGGCTACTGGGAAGGTGGACATTTGCCCCCCTAGCAGTACTAGTGAGATATGTTGGGTTGGTGGCCATGAGTGGGGATACTTCACCATGTTATCAGAGTGGAACTGTAGTCAATGACACATGCCGGCCATTATATGCCTATCTGCTTCCCATTCTGACCTGATCATAGCATCTGACAGAATGATGCCTTCCAGCACCGATCTATCATCTGCATGAAAAACTACAAAGGGGATGATGCTGGAAGATATGAAAACATGTGTCCCCATAAACCATGTCCTTTTGGAACACTTACCTCTCACTGTGCCCACAAATCAATAGTGCAATATGGCATACTTTTCTTATTACACCTTCTATACCCCACAGGAAACTGTTCCTTACATTGTTGTGTTTGACCCCCAGGCCAAAGATTCCGTGTCCTCCCCAGATGTTGTTTTATGTATTGTAGCACTTCGTTCCATCTACTAAGGCTTCTACATACTATAGTCAATATACACTCACCAGCTACTTTATTAGGTACACCTTGCTAGTGCCAAGAAAATATCC